ATCAGCTAAAAGCAGTATTCTGTATTGAGATACATTTTTGCCAAGTTCAGGGAATAACTTATAGCCATTGGAATTAATATATGAACACATATAAACGTCACACAATGAGAACCTGATTACTTAATCAGGAGATATTTTTGACACACAAAGCTCCCAGACCTTGGCCGAGATAATTCAATGGCTGAAAGACATTGAGACAATTCTCATCTGTTTGTACCACTGGATGACAGTGGGCCATGCAATCTGAGCAAGCATCCCCAGCCATTGATGCAAAATCAAAGATTACTATTACTGCACTTGAATATCAACAAAAGGCACACACAATCTTCTTCATGTTCAGAACCTAACTGCTCATGTCGTTTCAGACTGTCTCATTGTCGGCACCTGTGAAATGTGTTAAAGCGCCATGTCTAAATGAGACTCCACCCCACTGGGAGGGAAGAGAGGCAGCAGAAGAAACCAGGGAGGAACAGCAACCTTACCGCTCCCATTTGGCTTTTTTACACCAACATCACTTTCACTCCTGCAGAGGTTTTTACCTTTGGGAAATTAAGTTGGGTACAAAATTACCAGTTTAGCACATGGGAACCTAGATGTATCTATCTGAAGTTCTACTCAACTGAAAGGAGAAAAGACCCAAGTGAAAATAGTAAAGAGGGCAAAAGATATACTAAGAAACCATGGAGGAAAATTGAAAACAAAAAGGGAACAAAAACACATATACAGTGGGGCGGGTGTGTGTGTGTGAGGAGGGCACTAAGATAGAGGAGATCACTGTTAAACCACATTCGCCTTTAAAGGACATTCTCACTCTTGGGCTGGGGCAGGGCAGATGGTGAGGTTCTGCTTTCCATCTTCAACACCACCCTCTCTCTCATTCTCTCTCTTATTCTGTCTCCTCTCTCAAATACACACACACACACACACACACACACACACACACACACATCCTATTCTTTATACAAAAAGTCTGCATATCCATTACAAAAACAAAAATGCTGAAATTATCGTGCTGTCCTAAAACCATCCATTTCCTTCCACAAAAAGCTGATTAATTACATGATCCCATACCATGTTAGGTTCAACCAAATGAAACTTCCTACACTTTGCCAATTTGGAACTGCTGAGAGCAATTTTATGCAGCTCAACTGAAAGACCTACCATCACTAAAAAGAATGAAGTAAATATACAGAAGACCATTATAGAATAGTCCCAGTAGCAGTTTTTAGAAATAGGTATATATTTATATGTGAAGAATATATACTCCAATGTGTGAATATCTATGAATATAAAAATAGGTAGTGAAATGTATAAATGTATTACTATATCTATATACATAATATATATTTATATATCCTTACATGTATGTTGTACATATATAATACACAACACTTTTAAGTCCATAGACATTTTCTGAAATCACCCCAAGAAAATGTCCCCTGTGACTGCTTCTGAGAGGGAAACCAGAGGTCGATGATGAGATGGGGCTTACTTTTATGGCTATGATCCCATCACTACAAAGTCTCCCATCACTGTGCAGTCTCTTGTACTGTTAGTATGTCTGACTAGATGCATGTATTGTTCTGAGACAGGACCTTACAATGTAGGCCAGGCTATAGTCAAATTTACCATCCTTCTGCCTCGGCCTCCTGAGTACTGTAATTAGCATACCCATTGCCAGCTTGCACAACTTTTTGAATTAAGAAAATGTCTAGATACTTTTTAAATATCTCAAGTAATTTAATGTCCATTTTAACAAGCAAATCATTTAAAATACTATAAAGCATTTAGAACAAGGACACTTCAAATAAGGTTAAACTTCAGCATTTTTGTTTGTTAGATTTTTGAGACAGGGTCTCATGTAGCCCAGGCCAGCCTGGAACTTGATAAATGAGGAGTAAATGAGGATGACCTTCAATTCCTGTTCTCCCTGCCTCTATCGCCTGAGTGCTAGAATTATCGGTGTGTGCCACCACACCTGGTTTATATGCAGTGCTGGGAATCGAACCCAAGGCTTTATGCATGCTAGAAGCACTCTACTAATGAGTGGCTGTCCGTCACTCTAAACTACCTTCCAAATGGCTTCATGTTCCTGAGAATCTCAATGAGAACTGAAGTTATTGTTAGCTGTGTTTCAATGGTAACATTCACATTACAAGTATTTAATAACTCTGCAGTCCTACAAGGAAAGATCTCTCTCTCTCTCTCTCTCTCTCTCTCTCTCTCTCTCTCTCTCTCTGTGTGTGTGTGTGTGTGTGTGTGTGTGTGTGTGTGTGTGTGTTGCATATGTGAGAAGGTCAAGGTCACATGTCTTCTTTGCTTTTTAGTTTTTGAGACAGGGTTGCTCCCTGAACATGGAACTTGATTGACCTTGACTTGCTCAGCCAGCAAGCCCCAAAGACCCTCCTGTCTCTGCCTCTCTAGCTCGTGGCTTTTTTTTTTTTCCAAACATGGTGTAGTGGTCTACATGTGTATGTCCCCCACAGTCCGGTCTAGTCCTTGGTTGTGGTGGGTTTGTGTGAGAAGGTTTAGGAGGTCTGGCCTTTCTGGAAGAAGTGTGTCACTGGGTTTGGGCATTGTTTGAGAATTTAAAGCTTCACATCACTTCCAGTTCTCTCTGCATCACGCTTTTAGTCCCACATGTAACGGCTTCCTGCTTCTGCTGCCATGCCTCCCTCCCATAATGGGCTCTGACACATTTGGATCTAAAGGACCAAACAAACCTCTATGAGCTGTCTTGCTCACAGTGTTTTATCATAGCAAAAGAAAAGTAACAAAGACAAATGGGTACTGGACATCCCACTCAGGTCCTCTGCTTGTATAGCAAGCACTTCACAGACTGAGACAGCTCCCCAGCCCTGAGACATCTTCAACTTTATTGACAACACATTTAGCCACAGGCCCTGTCTAGCTACACATAAAGACTTGATCAGGAGCATATTTGCACATCTGTATGTAAGCATGTTTGTGTGTATAAGGGTGAGAATGAAGAACTAAAGGCACTATTAGTAATCCTAACCCTTCATTCTTAGTGGTTTTTCACAATATATGAGCAAGAACTGTTGGTGTTGTCTCAAAAACAACTAAGCTTAGAGTGAGATCTGAGGCCTGGACCTCTCCTCCAGCCTCTCCCATCTTATACCCCTGTGGAGAAGAGGAGGAAATATCTACATTTTCCTAAGGGTGCTTCCATTCTCTTCCAGATAATACCCATTGTTACCTTTAGCTGTTCTACTTGTATTAACTCCCCCACTGACTTCATCTTCTTCCCTCAGAGCAATGTATGTGATGAGAGCCACAGTGATGAAGTTTACAGTGCATGTTAGTCTGGACTGCAGGAGGAGGGGAGTGAGGCTGAAGCCCACGAGTCTTGTCAGCTGAAGGCTCTGGCCTCAGATGTTTGTATTTGGAAACGTTTTATATGAATATTAACACATAAGCAAGTATAAAATGCAGATATTTCTGATATTCTGTTATGAATGAATATCAGAGGCAGTATTCCAAAGCCTGATAATTAGCCATAATTGTGGCAGGTATTTATCAGAAAGTCCAACAGAAAATACAAAAATAAATATGCTTTTTACATATGTTTTAAGTCTTCATAAAATTCAAAAATTAAACAATACAATCTTAGCTATGAATCTGAAGTTCATTAGACCTACAAAATTTAGTAGTAATACCCAACAAGTTTGCTGTTCAACTTTACTCAGTTCAATTTATAACCATATCTAAATTTTCTTTACAATGCCATAAATCTTACTAGCCAATCTTGATACCAATATACATGAAATTTTGACCATTTCATGTAATTATATAATTTGCCATTTTTAAACCTGCCACTTTTTCTCATTAACCCAGTTTTATGTTGTTTTTTTTTTTTTAACTTGAGATTTCAAAAGATAAATCGTTGTTAGTTAAGTCTCTATACTGGTTAGCTTTAATCTTTGAAAAATACTCCAAATTCCCAAATATTACAAATGCTATAAAACTCAAAAGCCATCTCTATTAAAAAGCAGTTCCAAGATGTGAAGTAAACAAACAGCAGAAGCAACCCTGACTCTTTAGTAACTGTATCTTTACAGCCACTGACATGAGTGTCTCCCCTTAATGTTAGAAGTCAGCTGACACTAAAACAAACACTAATCCACTGGCATACAGTAAAAACTGTTTCCATGTAAGACTCTCATGAGCCTTAGGAAGCTAATTTTCACGAAAATAGCTGTAGAATAAATTAGCTTTTGCAGCCAATGATTTAATCAGTTCCCTACTCAAATTCCTCCAGGTCCCCCACCGCCAATAGCCTAGGTGTGAAGACTTTGAAACTAATGAGAACTTTAGAATATGTAAATCCATTAATACCCAGTAGCCCCTGCCTTGTATATGTTCATCATCAAATGAAAGTTCAACTTTGAGAAGGTCGACACAACTCCACAAAAGTACCACACACACCGTCCTGCACATAAGCTGAAGAGGAAATGTGTGATGAACCACCATGTATGTGCAATCTGAGTTCTGCATGCTGTGGGAACCCGAGACACAGAAGCCTAGCCAGCCTGTAGGCACAGCACACCAGAGAAACTGACTGGAGTCATCTCCTATCCACCCTTTCGAGCTGTACCCAGTGAGGAGCAAGCAGTCTGCTGCTGCAAGGTGGCAGGCGCGATACAGCTTCCGCAGGTCTTCCAGCTCAAGCAGCACGGAGACTGAAACACCAAACTCCCTATTAAGTTCCCTAAGAGGGAACTCGCAGAGGGGCTTCAACTTCCTCCCATGCTCCAGCCAAGCCACTCGCTCTGACCGCTAGCCCAGCGTTCTGGAACACACCCTGGAAGTCTCCAAACCCCAGGCAGGAATCCCTGTCTCCGGGTCCCGCCCCTGAGCGAGGCCACGCCCCGTCCATGCCGCGCCCCTGCGCCCCTCCTCCGGATCCTGGTTCCCGGGATCTCCCCGCGTCCTCCCTCCACCTACAGCTTTCCTGCAGGCCCCCACATCAGCCTTACCTTGGTCCGGATCTGTCCAGAGGTGGACACTTTGCGGATCAGCTTCTGGGGCCCCTCCTGCTCCGCTTCACTGTCGGATGAATCCTCTCCCGGTCCCGCAGCGGTTGGGGAAACCGCGCTGGTCCCAGCGGCCGCTCCTCCCGGAGGGTGGTGCTGGCTGCCCGCCCCGGCCATCCTCTCTGGTTCCTGCGGGGTACACAACAGTGCCCCGAGGGGCTGTGGTCAGCGGCTGGGCTCTGCCCGAGCGTCCAAGCCCCGCGTCTAGCTGGCGCCATCTTCCGAGGTCCTGGCCGCTCGGCTCTGGGGACCGGGGACCACACGCCGCCCCTGACGAGACCGCCGGCTCCTCTGCACGCTTCACGCCTGCGCACCCAGACTTGGGATGTTCTGGGGTTGCTGCCCCAGGGGATACGACCAGCACCGAACTAAGAATGGAGGTCGCAACAAGGCTCGAACAACCTTACTCTTGCTCTTTCTGGGGTCTGGGGGCCTAGAGGGAATAGAGGGCCGAATTGGGCAGGACTGCACCAGCAGGTCAGGCGATGGCGATGCTCTTCCCCTGGTGCTAGGCTGCAGCCGTGAGGGGAAGGCTCCTGCGGGAAAAGGGAATGTAGGGTTTCCTCCTACGCCCAGGGGTGCAGCCCTGGACCCCGAATCTCCACACACTAGGGCCTTGTGGCACCCTTCCAGCTAAGTAAAAGTTCCCTCTGCCCGGGATATGTTCTGGATCTCCGGACCCTCGGCACAACTGCGAGGACCTTACCTCTCCCACCTCTGCCAGGGAATTCGGGTCCTTTCGGCCTCCTCTACTGTGGTGTTTAGTTTTGGGCCCACCCCCATCCGGCGCACACGGAAGAGAAGAGCATTTTCCGGGAGGTTCAGCTCCGCTCTGGGAACTTTTCGTTCAGAAAGAGCGATTCCCTTTGGCTAACAGGAAGCTGAGAAGGGCGTGGAGAGAGCGCCGAAACAAGAGAGGACACGCAGCCCAAGACGACAATATGCTGAAATAAATGTCTAAGCTGAAGCGCCCATCCACAATGCCTTGGAAGAATGCATTCAGCCACATGAACAAACTACTCAGCAAAGAAAAAATTTATATATACATTCACATGAGAGAAAAGACGTCACTCCCTAGCCCGGACTAGAGCCGGAGGAGAGGGGGGTCCACAGGCTGTAGCTTTGGCTCCGGAGGCATCCCTAGCCTGCTGCCTAAGCGCAGCGGCAGGCGAGAGCAACCTGGCTGCACGGAATGCACACTCAGCCTCAAAAGTCATGTACTGTTAGGGGAAGGCTGGGGGACAAGACACTAAAATGACAAGTTTCCTGCTGTCAACTGAAGAGAATTTCACACTGTTATCGGCTGTTTTTTCAATTAAGTAAGAACTCCCTAGCCTCCCCTGAGGGCCCTTGATAGAGCAATCTTTTTAGCCCAAGCCCTTTAGGTTCCTTTCCTAGTTGTCAGTTGGCCATGATCTTGAAAGTTCCTCGAAACTAAGATTCTGGATGGTTGTTTTCCTCTAAGAGCAACCTTAACACCCAACAATTATTCGGCTCTGTGTTAGAGCTGAGAGCGCTAAGACATTTTAACTGTACTAAAATTGGGAAATGCGTTTCAATTATTCAGCATAAGAGAGTACTGCCATGTTACATGAACACAAAGACAACCTCTCACACTTCAGTTATTCCCTTTAGGAAAGAAAGGAGTGGGGTGAAATGTACTTCAAGAGTTCTTAGGGCCTGATAATATGAAGTTTGTATCTACAAGAGCATACTGCTGGAAAGTCTTTAGAGACAGTAACATTAAATAAAGGCCTTGGCTGGGATTATAAATCAGTGCTAGAGTTCTTGTCTAGTGTACAGAGGCCCATCACAACCAAAACAAAATAATGAATGCCCTTTGAATGACCTTTATCCTGGTCTGGCTACTTCATCACAGACAAATCTAATGATTTGGCATCACAAAGACCCCCAGTAAAGGGGTCTTTACATAGTTCAAACTTTCCTTTTAACGTTAAAGGCACTGAGGTCACAAGCTGGGACCAAAGTAAAAAACATGTGATCACGATTCTAGCATTCTCTTCACCACACTATATATAGCTAAAGGTCAGCTTGGCCGTTATCTCGTACTTCAATCTACACATTAAGCTTTCAAGTTTTATATAGCAACATTTTCCAGGACCCAGGCAAGGGTGACTGAAATGAAAGGTGGTTTAACACCCATGCCTATTTGTGATCCTTGAAAGAAGATGGGTTACATTTCTCACTCTTTGAAAGGATGCTGACTGCTTACAGATAGTTTAAAACAGCATCTGATCCAGGAGCTGGGCAAGTAATTCCTCAAAGTGTGGGCGGGTATTTGTTACTTATAAAAACTTAACCTTGCCACCAGCTCTGCTCTATATAGAGTTCAACGACAAGTTTCTAATGCTTGTAACTTTAAAAGCAAAGCCAATCTAAGTCTAGTTCAGCTAAGAAAATGACTGTAGCTCCTCAACATCTGCAGCTGTAGAGGAAACCCCTGATGAAAACACTGTGTAGGCAAAGGAAGGAATGCTGCCTCATTTCCCACAAAAGGCAGCTCAGGAAAACCCCCACTGGAGAATCGTCTCTTCTAGAAACTTGCAAGGAATCCCCAATTTAAAATAATATTTGACCTACTAACTGCTTCTCCAGTCCTGGCTGTAGATGTCCAAAATGGCTATCTAATCTAACTGAAATGCACTTGAACTTTTTTGGGGGGGAGGGGGGTTGTTTGTTGTTTGTTTTTGGAGATAGCCTCACAGCACACCTCAGGATGGCCTGGAGCTCATTTCATAGCCCAATTTGACTTTGAATTCATGGCAGTTCTCCTGTATCAGCCTCTGTATCTCAAAATGGCTATTGAAGTTTCAAATGTGTGGCACATTACTTTATTTGATTTATAAATCTTTCCTTGACTTTTTCTTCAGTGTTTTAGATTTTCATATAATTTCTTCAATGCTGCTTATTTATTACTGTTACTCTGAGATCTTTGCCAGGCAGTGGTTGCACACAACTTTAATCCCAGCACTCAGAAGATAGAGGCAGGTGGATCTCTGTAAATTGGAGGCCAACGGGGTCTTCAGTGTGAGTTCCAGGGCAGCCAGGGCTATACAGTAAACCCTGTCAGGGGGGCTTGGGGGGTGTCTCCATGTGGAACGTATCACCAAAACTGTTTAAAACTTGCGTATAGGAGGTTGGAGCAGGAGTGTCAAGAGTTATATAGTGATTATATAGTGATTAACAGGCCACTCCAGAGCAACACAGCAAGATCTTGTCTCCAAAGAACGACATCAACAAAAACTCTATACATGTTATAATCAGGATTAAATGGAAATTAATCACTAAGTGGCTTTCTACTTAATAAGGCATCATACTCCATTAGGGAAGAAAAAAAAAAGTAGTGACATGCTGACTAAAACCTTATGAACATTAAATATTACTATCTATAGGAGTATTTTAAATTAATCAACTACTAGCAACAATCTTAAAGTGTTGAATCCCATGTTCTACAGTTTTACATTCAAATTTTAATATAATGTGTTGAGGGTTACACATCATACGCTGAAAAAAACACAAGTAGGTACTTTAGAAACCATGTTCCTGCTCAGTGCAGAACCAAAGACTGCAGAATGAACAAGCACAGGCCTGGAGGCTACCGTGACTGCCATGTACAACTATTTCCACAGACAACAAAACATTCTGAGAGCAGTAGTGCTGTGAATTATAGGAACACACTCTGGTCCTTGCACACAAGGCAGAACTTCTCATCATCCTTGCATAAAGTGTAACCGTGCAACCTCTTGTTTGTATTTGGCCTTTGCTCTTTGAAACCCTTCCCTTTCTACACGTCTAATTCTGGATTATTAACTGGTATAACGTTAACTGGTAATACTAACTGGTTCAAATCCATTTGGAAACAAAACTCAACTTTAGGAAATGAAACTTCAAGCTTCCCTCCATTAAAAAAAAAAAGGTATTTTGTAAATACTCCTACATTTTTAAACTGAGCTAGAATTCTAACTACCTATTGGCTATCCACTCCCACCCTAGTTTAGGGACTGCTTTGCTAAATATCTTCCTACCCATTCATTCCCAACATCAAAGTGCTTTTATTCTGTTTATTTTAGTGGGATGAACCCAGGGCATTGCTTAGGCACATGCTCTATCACTAACCTGCATCCCAAGTATTTTCTCTAATTGGCTTTTTGATAGAGTCTCAATATGTAGCCCATGCTAGTCCCAAACTCTGAGCCTTCCTTCCTCAGCTGATTTGCTGTGATTACAGGAGTGCAGTACCACACCCAATTCCCCAAATATTTTTTGATTTGAAATTTGAGTGATGCCTGTATTTTCACTAACACTTGACTATATTCCAAAGCTACCATCAAGAAAAACAGAGAAACTTAACTGTTAGCCTGTATCTTCTTTAAGTTCAATACTTAACCAGAATAATGCTAAATAAAGCTAATAATGTATTCAAATGTTCTGATTTAGCTAAATAACTTAATTTCACCCCCTCACAAAGAGAATGTCATGAAGTCCCAAAAATTCCCTTAGTTCCAGGCATTGGTATACTTTAGCCAAGTACTGTTTCATTTCAGGTAGCCACATTAATCTCCAAGGAATCCTTTGCTTTTCTGTCTGAATAGTAGACACCATAGCCTTATGGTTTAGACTCAGAGAGAGAGAGAGAGAGAGAGAGAGAGAGAGAACAAATTCTTACATGCATGCTGTTACATGCCATAATAATATAGCAATCCCACTTACTCTATACTTAAGTCTTTTTTGTGAATGTAAATCTGCAAGCTTCTATGATAAAGTATTAAATTGCCTATATTTAAATTTTAAAAAGGTTTTAAAGAACTCAGAATTGGAAGCCAAGTGAAAACAGGTTTGTTTTCTTTGCTGTTGTTTCATTTTGTTTTAAGAGAGAAAGGATTTATTTTGGCTCGGAGGATAAATGTATCTTGGTGGGGACAGACTGGCAGCTGGGGCTCCACCTGTGGTAGCCAGAGCATACACCAGCTGCTTGTTCTTTGGCACTTACAGGACACAATGAGTGAAGCAGGTATCCCCAACCTGAGAGACTGAGCACACACAGACTGGACTTCAGGAAACCTGTGACTCCACTAAATGTGTTTAGGGAGGGAGGGGTGTGTGTGTGT